CCGCCGCGAAAATTTGTCTCATTTAACGTTCACTTACGGTTCTCAATCTATTCTAGAACATTTGTATTTTTCTTTTTAATTTTTAATTTTTTTTTTTTTTTGGGGTTCTAATGTTGTTCTGTAATGAATGTAACAGTTCGAGAACTGTTTTTAGGAAGTCCTTCAGAATGTCCTTGAACAGATTAAGAACATTTTTCATTAAAAGAGAAAAACATTACGTTCTAGGACAGACTGAGAACCATAGGCCTAAGTGAGCGTTAAATGAGACAAATTTTCGGAGGGGTAGTTCACGAATGACTTAAGTCTCCTCCTTTGTTACCAACATTATGAATTTAAAAAGTGGAGGGATTTTATTAAAATTTCCAGGATAGGTCAAAATGGGCTAGATTTTGGTTGTGATTAATTAAACAATTAATTTTAATTAGAATTAAGTCAATTAATCGGTTAATAAAAATGATAAAAATTGATCGAGCTGCCTAGGAGGAGCGGGAGAAGGGCAGCGCTCTTTTCTATTATTTGGAATAAAATTTGTTTTAGATACTAAACCGATTTTGTATCATTTTACGTTATGGTGACCTAGTGTTTTATGGACAGATCTACATGTAGACCTTCCGGCCTTCCTTGTTTAGTAAGTTTGAAGCAAGAAGATCTGCATATAAAAGAAATATGAGTTTATTTTTCAATTTTGGATCATTTGAAAATTTTAAAATAAATTTTAGAAATAAATTTGTTCATTTACCTTTAATTTGATGTGTTATTTTTCATATCAGGGTGAAATTTTACTGCCTGGGGCCAATTTTACATGCCCTCCCCCCTGCTGCATTTTAGTGCTTATTTTGGACGACTGGCGGCAGCACCTTACGGGTCATGTCATGTCACTGGAAGGCTATGCCATTAATGTACCCTGATTTTTTTATATTGTTTAGGCTTTGAATAGAAGTATTTAAATCTGAAGTGTTGTGTTTGTTGAAGCATGGAAAGTATTTTTAAGAGAATTAAACGTTATAATGGAAGTGAATGGGATTTTTAATAGTGGATTAGTGTATTGCTAAATGGGAAACTGTGTTTGGACAGTTAATGGACATCGTAACTAACAATATACGAGTTGCAATGGATGTTTAAATAAATAATTATCTGAAGTAAATAGTAGCCACAATAATCTTTGCTGAAAAGTAGGATGGAAATTCCATCGATCAATTCATGGGAAACTTTATATACAATACCATATACAGCTCTGTATTCGTGGGCACTTCCGGTGGCCACATGCTTTCGGGGTTGAGCTTTGTAAATAATAATTGAAAGTCGCGGTTGTTTATGTTAGGTTATGAGTTATGGGAAAGTCTAAGAATAAGAAAGGGAAGGGGACTAGGAACAACCCCACAGGTCTTCCAAGCGTCAAAGATTTTAATTTAGAACAAGATGAGTTTGGAGATAGTGACACATACAACCACTCTGTGGCCAATATTGTTGAAAAGGTACCCGTAGAAGAATAAGAGTTCCGACTTAGATTAGTTAACTTGTTGCTAATGCTTTTCGCTAATCTTATGTTTTATGCTTGTCTGAATGTGCAAGTTGTTTCCACGTGTCTGCCTGACACTGACAGACAAATGCACGTGTTTGCATCTGGTAGAACTAGAAATTGGGTAGAAATAGGGACTGCTTGGTTCCATATTACTCTACCATTATTGTAATGGGGACAGATTTTGTGACAACTTACATGTACATATATTTAAGGTCTGTGATCCATTATTTAAAAAGGATTTTGATTTCAATGACCCCTTCTTACAACATCCACATCCACCTGTTACTGAAAGACTTGCCCCTGTGACTGTTTAATCATGAGCATAACTATCTGGCATTCTTTTTTTTTTTCTTTTTGTGCATTTATCATCGCGTTTGCTTTTTGTCAGTCTGCTTTTATTTCTAAGTAGCAATCACCTTTTTCAGTATCAGTTCAGCCAATAAGAGGAAGTGCAAAATGTACACTACCAATGTACTGTAGAAATAACCATAAATGTCCACTCTGTTTTCTTTTCTTAACTTAATGTCACACACTGAAAAGTCAGGGATTTTTCTTCCATTAGAGACTCTGGTTTACAAAAGTTCTTTTTGCCTCAGCCAAATTACTTTTTTATTTTATTTATTTATTTATTTTTTGTTGACTGTTTAGCGTTGTTCATTTTTTCTCATCCTTCTTTGGTTATTTAACATGAACTGCAATTTTTTAATATTATGGAATGATTTTTTTTCAGCACCAAGGCACATATCAAGAAAAGATTATATGTGATTGCATCACTATTTTTACAGTTCTTTAAAGGCGCTTTGTTGTCTCATTATTTCTCAAATTTATACTAACATTGAATACTTTCTCTCAGCTCCAGAGCCTAAATGTAGAAGAGAAGATATGTGCTTGCAGCACTATTTCTACCCTGGTCCGACAACCGAAGGCCATTAGGATGTTACTTCAGAATAATGTAGTTAAAGTGATGGGGCCACTCATAGTGGACAGTAGTCAACAAGTCAGGAAGACAGCACTAGGCGCACTCAGGTACTGTAACCATTAGTGATGTCAAGGATCACTGTGTTATGTTTGCATTAATCGTAGGTTTTGTATCAATAGTAAGTTTATGTACAATATCTGATTACAATAATTCTCTGTGTACCGCCATGGGGTTTCTGTCAACACATTTCTGTCAAAAAGTCTTTCTTGAGATCTGTACGGATACACGTAGAACTGATAAAAGAATGTGGGGAAAGTTGGGTGTCTTGTTTTTTTTTTTTTTTTTTTATTTAAACCACTTTTTGTTTGGTTTTGAAAGTCTTCAGTCACATTTCATTATTAGGTTTAAAGGGCCTAACTTAGAAAGGCAGGATTGAACTTTTTGGAATGCAGTCTTTTATTTTGGTGAAGAAAATTTTTAAAAAGATCTTGTGGATGGCAAATATGACATGATTAAATTTTGATTGGCTGAAATATCTATTCCTTTAAGGAAATTTTTCTTAGAATAACTAACTACATGATGTACATTGCTGTCTATATATTTTCTTTCTACGAGGGACTTAAATTTCTCCTTGTTTATTTTATGATTATCTATATATATAAACTAAAATATTGTTTATTTGATATTAAGAATTATTATATACCTATTGGGATAAATTTTCAAAAATTCACCTGCTTAATTTTCAGGAACATGACTGTAGATGGCAGCTTTGATGTTTGTGACAAAATGATAGAAGCAGATGTGTTGACTCCACTGTTTTCTCTCCTCGCCGAGGTAATTGCATGCCCATATGATACATATTTGTACCTTTGTTTGATTTTAATTTGACTTAAAGATTTGGAGAGTATCTATAGATTTCTACCCTCTACTAGGGCAGCAGATATTATAGTCACTTAGAAGATTGACCATATTTAGCCAGAGACATCCGGAATATCTAGTGAAAAATAAATCAGTGGATCTGGTAGAGGGTAATAGATTTCCATGTCTGAAAAACTTGTAGATCCAGAATTTTACCTTGTGCTGAGAAGAAGTGGGGTGCAGTGAAGTTAACTTTTATGTTACAATGTAGTTTGTTCAATGACATTTGTTGGCACTTTACCACAATGTATTTGTTGCAGTATGGAGAGGAGTGGAGTCCCAGTGACAAGGACGAGAGACTAGATATTATTGTTCAAGCCACTCATTTACTGTGGAACTTATGGTCAGTCTTTTGTGGTAAAGAAAATAGCTTAAGTTTGATTATGGACATTTTCTTTCATTTTTTGTTGGAGCTATCTTTTATATAAAAAGTAACTTTTTTACATTTGGTATCATAGTAATTTATTTTAATGATTTCTTCTTTAGAAAAAAATTGTAGTTACTGAATTTCGGATTTTTAAAGAATATATTTTATAAGTTTTGATCATTCACAATAATCACAAGAAATTGGTATTTGCAACAATTTCAGTGAGAGCAATGAAATAACCGTGAAGAGATTTAACCAGGAAAACGTTTTGCCAATATTACTACAGTGTTTGCAGCCTCAGGTGCATGGCTATAATCTGGCATTGGTTGTAGGTAAGACAACAGATAGTAACAGACTTTTCATTGTTGAAAATATAGATCAGGGGCGGATTCAGAGTTTTTTCCTGACAGTCTTCCAAATTATTTTTGTTGATCCGTTCTTCATTTTTGACCGTCTTCCGACAGAAAAAATTAGATACCCACCAATGTAAACTTGAAAATCTGACCGTCTTCCAGAAGACCCAGTAGACAGAAGCATGCCCAGGCATTTTCAGTGTTTTATTTTGGTTTATATCACCAAGAGCCCCTTTAATATATTTTGTTTTCCCAATTCAGCACAGTGTCTACAAACAGTCAGCGAGGACAATCCAGAGATCATGTCAGCACTCAGCAAGGAGGCCACCATGACCTTACTGATGGATCTTATACAGAGGAAACATGAGGATATGCAACAGATGCTGCTCAGAGTGGTAGCGGCGGGTAGGTGGAGTGAGAGAGAGATGGGGGACTGTAATGAGAGCTTGAGGGGGGGGGGGGATGGAATATGTTGTGAAAGTGGAATGGACGTTCGTTAGGAACCTTAGTCTGCTCCCCATTACTTTGTACAGGTGACAGGAGTCCCATATACGTACTAACCCCAATACTCCCACTAACCTGTACGAATCACATGGTACCCCCGACCTTCATTCCTAGGGCTACTATTCCTGTCACAAAATGAGAGAGAGATGTGAAAGTGTTTAAGCCTTAGACTAGCTAAATAGATACATGAGTAAGGTTATTAGTACCACCAGCGTGTACGCTGGCGGTACTCATGGTTTTAGTCCCGACCCGTCTCGTCCGGCTCCGCCGGCTCCGTTGGCTCCGCCGGC